TATATTAGCACTCTATTCCAAACGCACTCTGGCAAGCCAGTACAATTGTACATTTAATAAACTCATTTTTTAAAACTCAATTCAGAAGTCAGGAATATATGTTACCAACCTGTTAGCTCACTTTTCAGATAACCTCTGACTACTGGGCAAAAATTCAGTGGCACGTCTTGTCAATAGGTTACACCAAGCACGTTAACTGATGCTAAAGCTCTGGCAGAGGGTGAGACCTTACTAAAAAACATGACACTGAACAGCTGGTGGTTTGAAATTTGAAAAAATACTGAAAATCTGCCTCTTCTTTTACAGCATACTACAAAGGAAGCACTTCACTTGCACTCCATCCCCTTCTCAAATTAAGAATGCAAATTTAGACAGAATTAAGACAGTGTCACAAAAAAACCAGAGGTTTTAAGAGAAAAACACCAGTAATCTAGAAGGGTTAAGTACCAAAATTATCAGAATTGAGAAATCTGGATTATCTCAATAGTTGCTTTTCTGAGAGCGGGGCTAAATAGTATTTTGGAATTGGTACTTTTGTTCTTCAGCAAAAACACAGAAGCTATGAAGCAAGGAGATACTTGTGTACCTTTTCAAGTTCAAGCAGCAAAAATTACTGCTACAGTAAGTAACCAGTAGCAATAACAAAATACATTTCCTTTCCTGGTTCATGTATTTGTAAAATCTGTGCCGTGCAGTATCAGACTTCGGTTTAATTTCAAAAGCTACATTTATTGTCCAAATCAAGAGATATGTACAGTTGCAATCACTGGAATGGGGGCTTTTCAGCCTATCCATGCCTATCCAAACTGCAACAGGCTATCCAGTGGCAAATCCAAAAAACCACCCCTCAAGAACATTTCATTTTCCCTAATCTAGATGAGGCATTGGAGCAACTGCAGGTGAACTGCCTCCACTAACCCACCACACGGTGGTGAATGTCCAAAATCACTTTCCTTTACACTGGAGATCAGGGAGGGGAGGCGGTGAGCCTCCCTGAACTTCATTCATAAAGAACTGTAGGAGAAAATCTGGGCTTGCTACAGAGTCAGAAAAATGCCCAATGCCTTGAGCAGCACGAGGGGAGAACCGCCACCCCACAGATGGTCACTTGTCCCCTAACCTCAGCCCCCTTTGCACGCTGGAAGCAACTGCAGAGCCAGACTGTGACTCCCTCCGTGCTGCCATCCACGCAATGACTTCTCCCACCTGAAAAGGTGATGCAATTGCTGCAGAGAATTGTTCACTTCTTCGTACAGAGGTGTTTGTTGTCAGACACTCCCACACGGACAAATTAGACGCAGCTCATTACTTTGCTGTCTCCTTTCTCATCTGCTAAGTTAATTGCTACATCTTGAACTCAGAGCGCCATGGGAGCTTTCTATAAAATATAACCTTACATTGCTCTTTTATATACCCCATGAGACAAGTCTGCAAAGTTAGGTTGTGTTTGCTTAATTTATAACCACATTCCACAATGCATTATTTTGTTTTTCTACCACACCATAATCTACACAATATAGCAGAAATTTTGTATACCTATATCCTTAAGCGAGGAGTGAAAGAGAAATATATTTCAAAAAGAAACATTTCTGATACTAACTAAAATATTGATAATCACATTCAGGTCAAAGAGGCTTCTAACTGTAATTTCTTAAAAATACACAGCCACCTCAAAAGCTCTTCTAAAGCAGCCAATGTGATTTCCTGGAGTTGGTTTACCTGCCTGTTGCTATCCCCCATCAATTTTAAAGTTGTACTAGTCATACATAGAGAAGTAAAATCCCTCCATGATACACCTCCTCCTTCTCCTGTTACTGTTCCTTAGAAGTGAGAGATTTAAGTTTGTGCTTAGCAAACAAAACCAATCTGTGCTAAAATATCTGCACCAAAGTTTGTTTAGGTATGCAGTAACTTGAATCCTAGAAACCATGCTCTGGCAGGGGGAGATTCTGCAGTGCTACAGAGAGCTAGGATGCATGTTCCAGTGATCCTTGTGCCCCACAATATTGCATCCACTTTTATAAGTTGATCAGGTAACAGCACATACCAAAACTCACTGAGAACCACACAAGTCACAAAATCAGTACTGGTACTGTGTTGTCATTGCACATCATACCACATCTTACAGGGAGCTGTGAGACCCTGCCACAGCAAAGCACTTTGCAACACACACTTTATGCTTGTACTGTTTGCAGTATCAGAGAAGGCACTTCTGCCTTGCACAGTGCATCCCTGCACTTGTAGTAACCCTCAGCACGCAACTTGCCTGACGAGTCTTAGCACCCATCAAGCACCTTAACACTAATCAGACTGGAAATGCAGAAATAGATGCAAGGATCACGCTTCATAGGAACACGATGCATAAGAATCCAAGCTCCAAAGCACCGCGAGTTAATACCTCAACCAGTTTCACAGCCAAGGAAAGCACAACTGGCAGTACAGTGACAGGAGAAAACTTGTGGTCAAGTGTGCCATCAAGAGGCATAAAAAGCAAAACCTAGCAAGGCAAGGAGGAACAAAAGAGCGGCACCAGCACGCAAAATATCCAGGCAGTCCTGGAATGATGTGCAGTACGGGGTCTGCCTTCACTATGCAGTCTTCACTTCACCACCTTTAATTTCTGTATTGCAACTCTGCACAAGGACTGAAATCCTCTGTGCAACAAAGTAAGAGGCTTAAAATCTGTAGAACTGTTATTAACACCAAAATGCAATAAACAGGGTGAGAAACAGTTCAACAACTACCAACCCCACATTGTAAAAATCTCCCTGTTTCTATGTAGGAATTCTCCAGGAAGCAGTCAGGTTTCAAAAAACAGCACCTTTTAGCTTAGAAAAAGCATCTGCAGACAGCTGAACGCTTCTGAAAATCTGGCCATTTCATAGAAGCATGTAGATGAAAACAAACTATGACTTAAAATTACTGACATTTTCTACCTCTATAGCCCTGTGTTGGCAGTGACTGCTGTACTGATATAAGGGTGTTTGGTTTTTTTGAAATATAAAAATTATTTTATTTTTTAAATGAAAAAGTAATGAGCTCTTCATTACTCACAGGTAGCATACCAAGAGTGGCAAAAACAGGAGTTCACACTACACTTTTAGTTTTCCTCATTTGTGCTTTATAAATGGCAGGTGCTTATGGTTTTTCTAAGATTCAGCAGCAGCCAGGACTCTTAGGTTTTTTCCCGAAGAAAATCCTTACCTTTCCATTCTAATTTTTTCCCCATTTTCTAATTAAAAGGAAGATTTTTCCAAACACTAACTTTTCAGAAGGGGAGCTGAGAATCAGAGGGCAAAAATCTGGTAACAGTTCATTATTTCTCTCTCTCACCTCAGCAAGAACCAAGCCTGTGCAGGGCTCTTCCTGGGGGCTCACCACAGGCACCCGAAATGGCTCTCAGCAGCAGCATTGTTGAGCACCGCAGGATTTATGGAGGAGTCTGCGTGCCCTCTGCTGGCAACTGCACCACAGTTCCAGCCACGGCCTCCATCAGGTTGTGTCTTTTAAGGAAGAAAACTCACTCTTACAGCTATAAAAATACGGAGAAGTTTTTAGGTATTCTCTACTTAGTCTAAAGAGTATTTCTTAGGAGTTTTTATGGCCCAATAATCATCTTACATCTCAAGAGATTAAGTCTTTTCCTCATCTCCTACTGAATACTTTATTAATTAGGCAAACCCAGGACACAGGTACCTAAAAACAACGTCTAACCACAGGAACTGGATATTTTGGCAGCACCTCTTGGTTACAGTGATAAGATAACCTCTTGTCTCAGTTCTCCCTTCAGTTCCTTTTGCATCCACTAAAAAGAGCTGGTATGACAGCTTTAAACATCCTTTGAAGGGCCAGTCTTGGGGAGAAGTCTGGAAAGGACAACATTCATTCTTATTTTTGAGGACACCCTTGCAAGCAACAGCACAGGGCATTCAAGAGGGCATACTGAGAGCAGACACCGCTCATAAATTAACGTAAAACTCTCCACAGCCCCTCCGCTGCCCAAGATCGTGTCTAGCATTTCACTTTGTGATAGAAGGCGAAAACATCTGTAACAGGAGCTGGGAAGCAACTGCTGTTTCCCTGAAGTCGTAAATAATGTGAACAGACCGACCAATTTCAATGGCTGCTCTGGAAGCACCGACTTCACAGCATCTCAGTTCATGCAGGAACGTTGTGGAGCTGCTGGACACATGAGGCTCCCGCTTTGGCACAACTAAAGTTCAAACATAGTGGTCAAACATAATGTAGCTCAAAACTTAGTATCAAGTGAGTGAACATGTTTTAACATGACCAGCTTGACCCTCCAACTGTGCAAGGCAGATGGACAGAAACTCATCACAGATTATTCTGCATGTCAGGAAACAGGAAAAAAAAAAAAGCCATCAGCAAGAGTCTGTGACTGCAGCTGTGACATAAGTCAGAAATAACAGTCGTTGTTTTAAAGTGTATAACTGGGAGAGTCGTAAGAAAATTAGGACTGCATAATGTAAAGAGAGGTACAGATAACGCTACACAGGATAATTTCAAGCAACAATTGTTGCAAAGCTTTGCTTCCTTTCTGCTTCAAATCTTCAACTATCCATCAGCACACAGTAATAAATTACTTTTTTATCAAGTAAACCTTGTACCTGGTCTTCACTTGTTAAGCCAAGGTGCATCACAAAATAAAAATGAACCAGGAAATCAGAATTTGGCAGCACGTCTTGACGCCTAGTCATCATAGCACAGATCAGCCTGTATGCCTGAAGTTTGCCTTCCTTATATTCATTTGGCAGGGTGGTTGCCTGAAAAGAGCACAAACTTTGTATTATTACTTTTTTTTTTCCTAGTAGCCAGCTAACACAGAAATGTACCTTCAGTAGATTTTCCATACAGCAAATCTGTTTCATGTATTTATTAAAACAGATTCCAGTCCAAATAGCCTTTGGAGGGTCATATGGTCCCATTCATCTTCTTAGCCAGCAATGATTGTAAAAATTAAAAATAAAGCAACTAAACATACAGAAATTCAAGAACCGATATAGAAAAAATACTAGTGTGTGAAAATTTTAGAAATAAGTTAACTTACTTTGAACAACCATGATGCAAATATTCTGAGAGGAGGAATTAGGACAGGAGGAGAGGGAGTAGACTGGTTGTCCACACTTATAGCGAGGTTGTCCCGAATCTAATATTTTTAAAAGAAGAGAGTTAATAAAATTGATAGCTTACTTCATTAATGATCTTTATTTCATATTACTGTTTTTTCCATTTTATTTGGTTTACCTTAAATGCACTAGACCCTGTGCTATATAGAGTTCCCACTTAACCCAAAACTACCAGGAAAGTTTGTTCTATAGAGCTTCCCCACAGCCTACGCTAATACTACCATTATAGGACATACCACGGGCTTTTACACCAAATACCAATGTTTGTAGTATTGTATTCTATACCTCTGGGTTTTTTCCTACTGTTTCCTCAACCTTTTTAAATGAACTAATCTAAATTATCTTGTCATTGAACAGAAACATTCTGTATGGGGGATATCTATTAGAAATCAATCAAGATGATCTTTTTCAATGACAGAATCCTCTAAGTCTCATGCTTATGTTCCAGATGCTAATACTAAATCAAATTTAATAATAATTTGTACAATAAAAGAAAAATCATTAGATGTAAGTCTCACATACAATACCTTTGCAAGCTTATACCACAACTCATAAAGATACCCAAAAACTTTTGCATGGATTTTAGGTGACTGTATATTGTTCACATCTCCAAGAATTCCCAAGATCCTCCTCCATAACACAGCAGCAGAATCAGGATGCCAACCGATAAGGCTTCCACCAGCAATTATACTGCAGTCATCAGCCAGAAATTCACTACTGTCTGTAAATTTTAAAAAGTTCCATTTCCATGAATTAGAAATGCAGTGTGCAGTATGGATTTGGTCAATAAAATAGGAACATTACTAATCCTAATCATCTTCCACCTCAGAAGTACTCTCTCCCACTAAATCATCTCTCTCTTTCATTGCTCAAGCTAGCACACGATTCACAGAAAAAAATGGCAGACAATGTAGGCTAAAGGGCTTCCACATAGAGATGAGACAGCTATAGATCAGTTTTAGATCAGACTGCCCCCACTCAAGAGCTGGGGTTTTTTTCAGAAGTGAGGCAAATGCAGTTAAATGGACCATTCATGTGTGCCCAGAGATTTATTCAACCAGTAACTGGCTTTTGCAGGTAACATTTCTATTGCTAAGAGTCCTTTCTTTGTTAAGATTGCATGGTATAAAATGACCTAGAAATAGAGCTGAGCAAAGGAACTAACAAATGTGCACTACTGGGGATGAAGAATATGCTCAGGCATTATCATTCAACACAGAAGCAGTTCCTGAGACAGCAGCATGCAAACTGAGAAGGAAAGCAGGGTTTTGTGAAGACTGTCTGGGTAATGGAACGAATATGCTTAAACAGCAAAAGAAAGATAACATTTGGAAGTACAAATTTTAATGACAAGAGTTGTTACAGCATCTTCTGTCAGACCAGGGAACTCTGCACAGCAGCCTGTCTGCAGGCAAACCAGATCTGTGGTCCAGTGCGGCACCCTGCGGTGCTCACAGTGTCCCACGGAAAGCTGCAGGAAACCTCTACACAGGCAGAGAGAAATAACTTGAGTCCTCCCAGAACCCTGAGGGGGTTAGCAAAATAAAAGCCATTTTTGATGGTTTCATGTTTGATTGAATTTATTTTTAAAAAAGCTTTGGGTTGGGTTTTTTCTTCACCTTTTCTGTTTTGTTTGTTGTAGCATTATGACTTCCCAAGGTGTTAAAACAGATGTTATTTATTAAGCACATTAGAATGATTTCCCACAAATGTAGTGTCAGGGAAATTGCATCTATGCTGTTCAGTGGTGGTGTGAGAGTAATTTTTTGCCTTAACACTACAGAAGTTTCTACAGAAAAAACAAGATTTTGTGACTTGGGTGAGAACCAGAAATGCAGTAATGGCCCACTGGCTCTGTTGGATAATTATACATTTGTTACCCATTTTTCATTTTAGCCTACATTAACCTTTCAGGTTATTTTTTATAATTCATTCGCTTTGTACACACAAAGGAGCAATGTCTTGTATCACAGACAAAGCAAGCAATGAATTTATCCCATAAAACAATCCTTACCATGGACTGTATTACATGCTACCTTTTGTACCATGGCAGTCTGAACTGTTGAACTATGCGTGCTGCTTCATTAAATTAGAGATATTTCAAAAGAAAAAAGTGAATATGAAAATTGTGTACTTTGAAGTATAAATAAGGAGTGTAACAGGATTAAAATGAGAGAAGTTATCATGAATTAACCAGTTATTTCCTATCAGTCAAAATATATAGTAAAGAATTTACTTAGACCATTCTGCTGTGAAATAAAACTTACTGACTTAAATTAATTAAATTTGTATTTACAAATTTACAGGTGATCAGCTATCACATCTCAGCTGATTAGTAGTAATTTGACACAGTAAGCAACCCAATTCTTTTCAACTGTGTGATCCTCTTCTGGATCACAATTTGTTGGCACCTGTGTCAGCTTCAATCTGATTATCCAAATTCCTTAAACCCTGGGCATTCAAATCTCATTACTGAATCAGCATTATAAATGAAACTTGGTGATACATGCCAAACAAGAAACACTTTTTATAAGCAAACTCAACTGTATAAACTCCTTTCGGAGATGAAAATCTGAATTATTAAATACATTTTCTGGACCACAGTACCTGTTAAATTTGCAGTATCTGAAGGACTAAGTTGAAGCCAGCGAGGTGCATCAGGATCCATGCAAACATCTGCTGGTGCATTAACTTCATGATCTTCTTCAGACACTTGCCAGGGGATAAGTGCAATCTCTACTTCATTATTATAACCAATGGATGTGTCACTGCTTACGCTTTCACCTAAAGCAAGAAGGGAATTAATAAAGGTCACAAACCTTGTTTTTAAAGACTACATTAGCAAAGCAAGATGAGAAAAGTATCTAATATATCTGTAACAAGGCAAAATTATGACATTGATTTCAATTGCTACACTTAAGAAAACTGTATTTCTTGGAACTCACTTTTTTCTCTCTCTCTGTAATTTCCATGCGATTGCTGCAAGTCTACTTTCAAATCTAATTCAGCTGTACTACTGCTTCTTCGTACTAGTACCTTCAGAGAAAAAAAACCCAACATATTAATCTCATTTCGTTGCAGTTTTGAAAACTACATATTTTAGCAAACTCGAGATATACAGACATAGTTATTAGCAATTAATTACAGTTCAGTCAAGATATTTTCAGGAATATTTAGACTACCCAAATATCTTTACACGTCTTAAGGAAACCATCATGCTTTCAATTTCAGTCATTATTTGCCCTTTCTTAAACTCAGTTTTCATACCAACAAGTAGGACTTTTTCCTTATGTTTTTCCACAAACCTGAAATAATTCAATACTTTGAAAAGTATCAAAAAAAGTTTCAGGACCACTAATTTCTTCATCTCTTATGTCGGTGCATTACTCTGTTGCAAAACAACCCATGCAAAGACACCTGATCTTTTGTTTACCTCCTCTTTCTTTGACAAATGGATTTATAGCCTACTACCTGAAAACCCTTGCTGCTGCTTCTAGATGATACTGCTCTGTCCCTAAGCATAACTGGTTTTCTTTATATCTGGCAAATAATCTTCTAATTCACATTTCTTGCAACTCCGTATCATCTATACTAGCAAAACTTACATTTCTGCCAGAAAAAGAGAGTATTGTGGTTTCTATCACAAACACGTAACAAAAATCTGCAACACCTTAACCCTGGGAGCATACTAGATCCAACTGCTGAAGGAATCTCTGCTCTAAAATTCCTCAATTCAGTTAACAATCCTTAAATTCCGCTTTGATATTTGTAATGACTATCACTACTATTTTTAAATAAATTTCTTGATGCAGTTTCTGATCCACTGGCCAGGCATTAATCCATTCATTCCTTCTGCATACATTTGAGAAAGTCAATTATTGCCACCAAAAAGACAACTGGTTTGTAGAAATTATTATTCTGATGTCTAACATTGTAGTTTGTTGGTTTTTGTTTGTTGTTTTTTGTTTGTTTTCTTTTTAAACTAGAGAGAATTGGCAATCATTCCCATGAAATACACATGTGCCTGCACTGTCTGATAGACTGCAGAGTGGTCTTTCTTCCCAGGCAAAGCTGGCTCTTAGCGATCAATGGTGAAACATTTCAGGGGGTTGTGATACAAAGTCAAACCTGTTCACAGAGTACGTTAGCAAGTTACACAGTGAATATACAAACCCCAGCTTCTACTGCAAAAGGGTGAAAGTGCAATACTGGGAACAGTGCAGCGGCATATGGTTGTGAATATTTCATAACACATGTAACTAAAATAGAATGAGGAGCCAGGTCAATTTTTAATTCCCCCAACTACTCAGCTTACTTCTCCCCATCATGCAAAACGGACTAGGTTTTCCTTCCTTTTTGAGACAATTTGTTATTCCTGAAGCGATTAATGAAAGCACTGCAGAAAATGTCTGGTCTCTCCTTTCCAGAGCTAAGTGGTAAGTCTAGACATACGGGAGACCCAAGGTCCAAAGATGCAATTCAGCTTGAAGTCCTCCATGCTGCATTGCATTATACTTCCACGAAGATGACCAGTCTCGATGTTTACTCAAAAGTTACATTAAAAATGTACAAAGCTTGCATGTCCTAATGTTAACTTACACAAATACATGCAGGACATAGCTAGTGATACAAATTGTGCTGAAAGCAAGCATTTCCCCAGCACTTTAAAACATCAAACATTTATTCCAGTGCACTGTAGCTCTGTAATAGCATGAATTATTTCTATTTAAAAAGTTATGAACTTCTTGTTTATATTTAATATAAAAAGCTCAACTGTCTTGTGTAAGACTAGAATACAGGCAATTACATAAAACTGCATAAGCAACTGACAAGATCAGAAGACACAGAATGATCACACCAAGGAGCATAATGAGCAGCTACAGCTCAATTCCAGATTCCATACGAGAAATGTGATTAATGACTTTTCACACTTTCAGTTGCTAGAGTTTCTAAATACTAAAAAGCATCTGATTAGAAACAAAACATTGTTAGAATCTTATCAATAATCACTTTTTTTGCCTTACTTGTTCAGCTTCATGTTCCTTTTTTGCATATCCTTTATTTTCCTGAACTGATTTGGAGTCTGAAGAAGTTAAATTATGAGAACTCCCAGACTTTTTACCTAGAAATTTTAGAAAGTAAAACAAAAGTATAGACATTCGTGGAACCAAAGTACATAGCAAATCATATGAAAATTTCAGTTACATTTACATGTACATTTAGTATATTTATAGCTAAGTGAAGTAATACAATATTAAAATGGAATACATGATGCCTTGAAAAATCCTGCATAAGCAGAACTGTTAGCTTTTATACACAAAATTTAAATACAAGCCAGATAAAAAGAAAAGTTTAAGAGTTACATACAAAATACATACATTCAAAGGTTTCCTTTTCAAGCACCACGCTTTATAAAAGGTCACGTCCTGCATTTAATGTCTGCTAACTTCTTAAAAACAGTTCTTTCAAAAAGATACCAACAAAATATTTACTAAGAAAACAAGATAAAAATATTTAATAACAGAGTTGGAAACCAAACTAGCATTTATGAGGCTGAGTAAATCTCAACAGTTTTTCTTTGGAAGAACAGTATTGCTATATTTTATCAAAATTACCTTGAAAAAAATCAGATGGAAACTGATCTGCAATATCTGAAGTGCTGCTACTTCGAGTCAGCTGCTGCTCCTGGTCTGCAAATAGACCCATAGCTTCTGTTCCTATTGAATTTTCCAGCTGTTGTGATTCTTCAACTTCTGTTGATTTAATTAAAACACAAAATATTTGCATGACTTCAGAATTAGATACACATGAGAATCCTCAACTAAGAAAGCTATGTAAAAAAGCAACCCATTCAAGTATTTAAAACTCCCAGGTTACAAAGCTAGAATGTAACTTCTAGTTACAGAAGGGACAATCTAAATTTTATGAAATATCCTTAGAAAAACTGTGAAGTTTAGAGAGAGATGTGTGAGTGCAAGTGGTAAGAAGTCTAGAAAAAGGATAGAAATTACTGTGGGGATTTGGAGTGCACAAGAAAGGGTGGGAGGATGTCACATGAACAAAGCTGTGTTTTTCAGTGCTAGAGACCCAAACTAGACCCTATTCAGTCTGGAAACAGAAAGAATAGAGGAGAGGCAACAAAATGACTATAAATGCAGAGTGCAGAAAAGATGACTGTGCTTTTCCTCCATAAAGAGGGGAAGGGGAGAATAAAAAAGGTAACAATTCAAACACAGTAAAAAATGGTCTGAGCTACGTATGATCTGAGCTTAGTTCATGAGGACAAACTGAATCATGGAGTTTTTTTGCTGTAACTGAAAATGAGAAATAAAAGGAAAGGAGAGAGAAACATGGCAATTCCAGTGAGAAAGTAAACTGGCATACTGGTGAAGGAGCAACAGGAACTCTTGAGATTAGCCAGCAACACAGTGCTCTTAGAAATGCATTTCTCTTGGCGTAAGGGAAAACAAAACAAAAAGTCGGTAACACTCAGGATCAAGTATGTTCCCATTCAGCATCAGTGCTTTCAGTTACAGCCGTGACCCTGGTTAATGCCCCCTATCACACCTCAGCTCACTGCTAACTCTTTCCTCTATGCTATCTCTTTCCCCGGAAAGCAGCCAGAGGTGGCCCACATCAAAGCTGACCCAACAGAGCCACCAGCAGACTGTGCAAGGTGCTCAATCTGCAAAAAAACATGAAAAATGCTGCTGTAGCAATTCTTACGAGAGCCCTTGAATTTCTTTTTTTCAATACAGAACATGGGCTGAATTAGCACACCTTCTTGATTTCTTTCAGCATATTGTGTAACATATTGTGTAACAATATGCACATTAAATAAAAGTGTCCTTTCCACCAGCTTTCTGTTCTCCTCCTCTTGTCTCGTTCCCTCTGCTCTGTTTCCTGCCTGCTCCTCGGGTACGGACATTGAGGCCACACTTATTCAGAAATGAGCAAGAAGTGCAGCCCCTCAGGATACAGACCAATATACAGACTGCAGCAGCAGCTTGGAGAAGGAGGAGAGTGTGCTTAGCTCATTCAAACTACACTGCCAAGTAAGTTTAAATAATAGTTAAATACTTAATAAACACTGTGTGTATTTCAGAAAATTATCTCAAATACACATGTATAAAAACTAACTTTCTGGTATTTACCAACCTCAAAGTATCACTGTTAACGTGGGAGGTGACAGAAAGTCACATTTTCCAGGACTTACTAGCTGGGAACAGAACTAAAAGAGAGTCTGCTAACATGGTATTGAAATCTCACTGCTTCCACCAGCACATCCTGGCTATATGATGGGATGCACGCCCTACAACAAAGTAGCTTTGTATTCTCAGGCCATTACATCTGGTTTTCACATCTATGTCTGGATTCTAGTCCAGAATTCAGTTCAGAAGTTGTATGCTTGGGGCTTGTTTGAGCAAGTTCCACAGGACAGGACTGTACTGAAAGCAGGAAAAAAGTTTACTATGATTTTAAGCAAAAATACACCCACTTCAGTCTAAATAGCCACTAAAATGCCCACATCTGGATTGCTGCTTTTAGTTTTTGCATTACTAATCCTTAGTATATTTGGTCTGCACTATACTAAAACTTTTAACAACTGCTTGGAAACCTTTACCAAATCAAGTAATTGAAAATGTAAACATGAATAAAAATATTTCTTTATTAAGAAATTAAAATAAATTTTACTTCAGTTACTAGGGAATATAAATCTAGTTGTAATTCATGGTAATCTTTAACATTAAAATGAACAAAAACTGCATTGCTCGCAGTACTACAAACGTTTTGAGAGAAATCAAACGCTACCTGAGAACTAAGAGGCACAGAAAAATATTTTTAATTTGCTTCTGGAATCAATAATTACAGGAATAATTCACTAGAAGAAAAAAAAAATCCCCATTTTTAAGCACCAATTTGTAACTGAGCATAACACAGACTGAATGAGATTCTTCTTTTAAATCAAGTAACTTGACCAGTTGCATTGCTTCGACTGCCTCATACATTCAAGCATTTAACTAATTTCTATGGTAGTTCCTTGAAAAAACATTGCTCCCCTTTTCCCTGAAAAGGTTCCTTATTTTGACAATGAACCCAATGACAGAATAACCAAAAAAACGTTAGAATTAGCCACTTTTTGTGACCCCTTGTAACTTTGAAAAAGGGCAAGATACGCTCTCATTAAACTCACTCATCTCTCAATGGCCACCAATATTATTTAGCACCATGTTTAGTCCCATCTGAGGCACAGGAAACAGAACCAGTGCAAAACATCTCATTCCACACTACTAAAGAATAATCAACTGGACAGAAAGTGAATAGACAGACAGCAGTTTAAAAATATAAAGAACATTTATATAGAAGATTACTTTAAAGTACAATACCTGACAGTCTGTGAGAACAAGAAGTGTAAGAGATACCAGGTAAGAGAGAGCTCACAGTGTGAAGCAGAAGAGGGACACTTTTAGTGGTTGGCAAAGCCTCATAAAGATGTACACAGTTGCTGATAGACTGGCTTCGCTTAGCTTCCAGGGAAAAAATAAAGCAATAATCATGTCAGAAAAAATAATGAAATACATGGGGTTCTGAATGTCATGATACAATGAAACACAACACTTTTGAAAGGGGAAAGAAAAAAAAAGTTTTACAGCATTTCGCCCAGAAGTATTTTCTATAAGCTGTAAGTTTGTGCAACTGTATCTCACACAGTGAAAGAGCAATAATCAGCAATTCCTGAATGACAGCGGTTCTGTAATGTGGAATATTTCATTTTGTCACTGTGTGATTCCTATCTCTGGGCTAATTCGACTCACCCTTTTTTTCATTGAAGGATCTGTAGCAGTACATACAGCTCAACAATAAGGAATGGAAAACTTATTCAAATTCCTCACTACCAGCAATGTTCCCCCACAAAACCAGCTACCTCTTACATACATTCAACTCTGCTGAAAACAACTCCTTTTCAACTGAGAAGTGAGACAGTGCACTTGTCAAAAATCAATCTACAGATACAGCTGCCTTCAAAACCAGGGACCTCAGCTCCAGACTGGATAAAGCCCCGATTTCCCTGGTTTGACCGGATCTGCTCTGAGCAGGAGGTTAGACCTGATGACCTCCTGAAGGTTCTTACACTCTGAATTATCTTGTGGGCTCTGGTTTCAGGGTACTAAGCCCTGCTTTCCATGTTTATGAGTAGGATGATGAAAGGGATGCAAGTTACATGGACGTTTTTGGAGTTCTTAAGTCATCACAAGGGAAGGTAGAAGATAAGTGCAGTCTGAATGCATATCTTACTGAATTTCTCTTCAAAATAGCAACACTTAAAGGTGTTCATAGTTTCTTAGAAAAAGAAAGGTCATGGGAAACATGTGGCTAACACTCTAGAGATTGTATAACATTAAGAACTTGGTATTTTGCACATTAATATCCAATTGCCATAAGCTTAAAGTCTTCATAGAAAAGCAGGAATTTATCATCAATTGCATTACTAAAAGTTAAGTTGAATTAGAGAAGTCTCTAACAGAAATCCTTTAAGAAAAAATGTTATTACTGTACAGTTTCTCTTCTTGTATACAGCAGTGTCAATGCTGACACTTAAAAGAGAGGAGAAGGAAGGAGGAAGCAAAAATACTCAAGTAGGATAGTGGGCAAAAGATTTTCTGCTGCTGCAGAAATACTCTGCTCTTACTGTTGTAACAACAGTTACAAGCTCCAGATACAAGCAGCAGAGCAAAAGGAACTTCTACCTGGAAGCAGGAGGTGCTCTGGTATTTCTATGTTGACTTTGGGTTTTTGGTTGTTTTTGTTTTTAAATAGAAGAAGGAGAATATTAGGGATGTTAAACCCCCTCAGTGGGAGACCCTTTTTCCAAAACTGCTAACAAAAGTCCTCCCATGTGCAGCTCTGGCTGCTGTATTCACCTCAGTTACTGCTACATTTCATTCTGAAAGGTGACACCTCTGGAGGCTTAGAAGCTAAGTTCCTGTTTCTAAATAGTCTTACATTAGAAAAGTTATATGCATTTTAAATGATTACTTGTTATAACTGCATGTGGAAATACAAACCTTCACTACTAGCTCCCAACCAAATAAACTTTTCTTACTAAAGGTAAGAAGCTCCTTTAATTTGAACACACAAAACTTGCTGATCAATAGTTCCAGATTCTCTCTACTGCTCTGTTGAGAAATTTAGGGGAGAAATTCTGGAGCAGAAGAAAGGAAGGATCCTACTCTGGAACACAAATAGGAATTCACTGAATTTAAAAATAAAACAGACATAAAAAATGAATTGACTCCACTGCCACAATGTTTTGTGATCTAAGCTGAAGACTGTAGCTTAGTTACAAAGCCTGTAGCCACAAAAACATACTAAATCACCTTCAGTTCTTCTGGTAAGAAACACAACAAATCTGTTATGAATGAGCAAAGAAGCTGTGCAGCAAAGTATCCTGTATTCAAAAGCAGGAGATTTTCTAGGGAGAGTTTTAATCCATAGCCCATTGAATTGGAACACAAACATCCTACCATGAAATAAAAAAAAGAGATCAAACTCAGGCTGCAGAAATGCTTGAAAAGTCAGGTATCTGTTCAATGTCTGGGGTCTGAGACATTCCTCCATCATTCCTCACCCCTGTTCTCCCTTCTCCTGTCTTCCTCTTTCAGAAGTAAACACAAGAGGAAAAAAGGAAAAGGAGATTCTATACATACCTCTTCATGCTAATACAAAAAAGTAAATAAAGCAAATAAGAAAGGATGAAATTGTTTATGAAATATCTGGTTTATCTTGTGCTCACAGTAAATGGCTGGCTGTATCAAAGTCCAGAAGCAATATGTATTATCTGACTGATAATGATAAATGCTTTCTTATGAATCGATAAAAATTGGAACGTACTCTACTTCTTTACATAAAAACATAACTTGCACATGACCAACTTGCAATTAAATGTTATGTATTTAAAATCATATCTTTAGAATTTTCGAAAATACTTTCATTCTTTATTCATACTAGTAGTGGTCAAGGCAACCAGACACAGGTACACAACATCTCTGTTCAGACATTCAGTTATTAAATTGCATGACTTTTGGATGCAGCCACAACTCAAAGGCAGATTTAAAACTCAAGATCTACTGAGTGTTCGGGAATATAAGCCCTAAGTTATGGTCTAACCTGTTGCTCTTTGACGAACAATATTTCTTGCTTTCTCAACTCCTGGGGCTCCAGAGGTTGTAGCACTTCTGAATCTCATTGGCTCAACAACTTCAGGATGGCTTTTCCAGCTTAATGAAAAAGATCTTCCCACTACAGCTGTCTTCTGAGGCTCTAAAACGCCCCCTTTTAGAAAAAGAAAACACAATTCTCTAGCATCACATGCTTTGGCACAGAATTTTCTTTAAGTATGAATGGACTTACAAGCATTCAGACATGAAAAAATATTAATCTTTGAAACAACACAGATCAACTTTTACTATTATTGAAAAAACAATCACTACTTCAACTACATGCATCAGTTGCAAGGTGGCACGTAAATGTAGCTAAAACACTGTAATGAATAAAGTTTAATAAAAACACATGGAAAATATTTTTTTACACTTATGACTGTGCCAGAGTACAGCACAGGAAATCAAGTTTCATCTTTGCTACACAGAAAAGTCTGATTTTAAATGCATACTAAAAACTGCTAAATAGCTACTTTCCATTGACCTCTCCTCCCACAATGAAGGATGTGAACACACAAATCCAAAGCACTTCACATTTGATTAAACAGGTTCTTACACTAGATTAAGCAGTATTGAATAGTAGATTAAATTAAATTAAATTTTAAGTTTAAACTTTAATATTTAACTTGCTTGATACAAAAAGCACTGAAGCATAGACACTAACCTTTTCCTCTCTGCTTTTTTTCTTTTTGTTCGCTGAGCTTATCCAAGGGTAGGTTTGTCATTTCCACCCCATACACGGTTCTTGCTAGCACCGCTGTTAGAGAGTCCATGATATTGGCCCACTCATTTATGAGCTCCTCCCAGTCTGTCAGGGCAGACAGAACGCTGAGCAGCTCATCCCACAGCTCCCGAGAAATGTAAACGCTCAGATTTGCTCTGATCCAAGCCACAATGAGGGTCTGAGAGAAAAAAACACAAGTGACATTTCATGCATTTCTGTCAAGATGAATTCAGCCCACCAAAACCAACCCACATGCTGATGAAGTCAACATAGAGCCATGTATTACCATTGATTATTCATGATGCACAGATATTATGCATAGCTATTTTTAATGAAAAAAACATTCTCAGAAATTGGTAGGTAAATAATTGTGAAAGTTACTGACTAAGGAAATCTGAAAACTCCAAAACATGTTTCAGGTGGTATTTACATTCCCTGGTAAACTGAAATAACACACTGTGTATAAAAACAGAATGAAGACCTGTCTCCTAAACTTACAGCCTGACTGCAGTGATTGACTTCCACTGGTGACACTCAGACCTACATAATGTAGCTGAGAATGCGAAGTATAATATGATGCATAAATGTTTTAGTCTCATTCAACGTGACTCAGTTTTGACTTGCCAGCTGAACTTCTAGGAAAACAGTTCCAAAAAGTTTACACTTTAGAGATGCTCATTGAAGACAGCCCACAGAGAGACTCTGTGCCTGCCTGTTAGATCATGGTCTGTAACAGAGCCCTGAAGAACAGATCAAATCAACTCCTTGTTGCACCTGGAATCTGTCTCCCTCTATTAGAAACAGTTTACAAAATAACTACTTGTACTACTGCTGCAAAGGAGAATTTTTTCATGTTTTACAAGTAGGTTTCGTAGTACCATGCAATAGTACTTGACTAAAACTAAAAGCAATCATCATGAAAAACCAACATAAAAAATACTCAACTAACCAAACAAAAGAACCCCAAACACTCACTCGGAAAAGTAATCCCGACATGCTTTGAGCAAATGTATCCTTTATTTGGTTTTCTTTCGGCTTCTGCATCACTGCTTCTGTTATTCTGAGGAGTATCTGCAACATCTGTTCCCTGGTTCCAAAACAAAATGTACTCTTCGTTCATATGTTCATTTTCATGTACCAAGAAACCCTCTTAATTCTCCAGTATCTCCTTACGTGATAAGGTCTCTCCCTGAGAAAGCCAGTCTGTTCCCTACCCAATAACTCTCCCATAAAGTTTAAGAGTTGATAATTTTCTCTTAAATTATGCAGAATATATTAAGCTTACCATGTCTTTTTATTCATTGATAATTCCATTATCATGCGCCTGAAGATACTCAGAACTGCTTTGCAGGCATCAACTTGCTCCTTCAGAAGCACAGGCACTTCAATACACGGTTCCAGTAAGAAAACATTTGCGGAGTTTGTTAAGAATACCTTTCAAGACAAGCACTTACAGTCAGTTTACACAGTGTCAGCAATAAAGAGAGTCAAGACTTACAATAAAATACTTGTCCTCTACCAGTCAAACCTTCCACCTTCCTTAGAGCAAGTTTTATGTTTTACCTGGCACTTCATTTTTAATTATTACTACATCATTCTAGCGCAAAGTCAGGTGGCACGACAGCCCCAACCAAGGCCTGTATTGCACAGCATGGGGTTTGTAGGCATCTCTTCTACTCAGTCAGGCAAGAGTTTCATTCCTCCAGCTATCTGTTTCCTATATGCTCGAGCAACCATCAATATTTCCAATAAATAAGGTTCAAAAAAGCAAATGTACAGTTCTGATTAATTCCTAGCACTCACAGTAGGGAAAAAAAACCAAACCACCCTTCTAACTTAAAATAGCTATTTGGCTGTAAGACATGGTCACATGGGTTAATATATACTGTAAAAAAGTCCAAATCATATCTTACAAAAAGCATCAACTGCTGGTAGTTGTTTTCCTTAATCTCAAAGTCTATATTATAATTTGTAGTGCAAATAACACAATTACGTAAATGACAGCCTTGCAGCCTTTCTATACACCACACCTGTAATGCAGCCTGAGCACCAGCTTTAACATTTTTGTCCTCATCTTCTAATACACATCCTCTGTTGACAGCACTGGTAAAGGAGTATGTTCTTCCCCAGCTGGATGAGCGCTTATGTCCTGAATGGTCAGAGGAAAGCTTTCAAAAACATTATTTAGTTAGTGACAAAGCAGAAAGGAATCTGTCCATATTTATACAAAATAATTTAAAATGTCTAAAGCAAAAAAAGTGGGGAACTGTGATATCCCTCATTCATGTATATTATTTCTTAATCTCTGAACAGACAGACAGTATATGGAATTTAAAGGTTCATTAAAGTTTTAAGAGCTACATTATTTAAAATATTTCATATCACATTTTGTAGTCACTGATTGTAGTAATACTTGAATTTAAGTATAGCAAAGCTATAAATCCCTTACAAAAATAATCTACCAAAGCCTTGTAATTCTCACTACTTTTTTACAACTTGAACCTCTTTCTCAGTACAACAAAACTGCCCTTCAAATAGCTTCACAGTGTCAACGGTGAGGAAGTCAACTTTTACTGATGGTTCAATATAGGATATTACAAAGATGATGCACAGAATTTTTATTGACAGTTATTTTCTAGATTAAGGTGTCTGAATCCAAATATTTAATCCAGTATATATAAATTAGCAGATACTTTCAAATTCTCAAGTAACTACCACCAAAAGGAAATACTCCTACATGCACTAGGCCAACAGACAGTGTAAATTTTAACACTGCAGAACATGTGAATATTTCTTCCATTAAGTTCTTGCTATCATATATGTATAGGCAGGGAATAATCAACAAATTACATTTTTCAAAATAGCTGCAATCTTTCTCTGCACTCAGAAAGGGCTACTGAACACTAAATATTTATTTAAATTTCTGGACCTTAAATAAAAGCATTTTTCAATCTTGATTTTCCACATATTTTTTTAAATCGTTACTCACAGGTGAGTTTTAAACAAAAATCATATATTGTAGGCAAACAGAATAAAATAAGTAACATTGATACCATACATGTTTACCATCCGTCTGCACTGATGTATCCTCTAAGTTGACAACAGCATCCTGACCATCTTCCTTTTTGTCTGGCTCCTCCATGAACACAGGTTTCTCTTGTAATATCCACTTTCGATAAACCTTAACCACTTTTCGTGTTGCAGATATATCCGAAGGTGGCAATAAAAAAGCCTAAGTTGAAAAGTTAACTGATTTTACTATATACAGGACATAGATATATGCAGGCTTATCTATATACACGCTCACCCATAATAATATGGCTCAAAAAAAGATAGGATACATAATTTTTACTTTTTTGTCTGCGCTAGAAGATATGATTAATCAACAACCTGTGCTTATACATACATCATTCATACTTCCATAATTATTAATTCCAAGTGACATCCATGCTGTATTTAGACAAAACCAAAGAAGTTGGTTTTGCTCCTTGCAAGCTGCCCAAGTCAGCATGAATTCATCTCACAAGCCACGACCAGCCAGAGAGGTCTGGCAGGCTGAACTTGGGTATTATGCTGCACCTTCTGGAGGAGATGACTTCAAATGACATCAGCAGTATATGATGCGAAATGCCATTTCAGCAAGTGTAGGTAGAGACAAGACAGTAGGTCATGACGAGGAAAACAGTGGTTGGCAATTTGATCCTTTCTCACTACGGTTTTGGACATCACCACAGTGAATTTATTTTCAACATGCTACTCGGTATCTGTATTTGAGACTCATTCTATAAAGATGTCCTCTCCAAAAGCTTTCAAAGGCTAGACTGGCTGCTTCCCCACATTTCCAGAAGTCTTATGAGACTAAAAAACAGAGTAACAGAAGACCTTTGCACTGCAGCGAACAGGCACAGAAATCAATGTCTGAAAATGTCATCTGGTACTAAAAATTTTGTACTTTGCCAACAAAAAAAATACATTAATTATACTATAAAACTGCTGAAAGAAATGAAAATATATAAAACTAGGTCCTTTCAATTATGAAGATACTCTCCATGATTAACAGGGTCTAAAACTATCACATTTCTATACCCAGTTTAGCTGCAAAAACATTACAAAGGTGTTTTGTTCAGGCCAAGGGAAATCTTTGCATCACACAGCACAGTTCCTTGTCTCTAGTTACCAGGAAGTGCAACATCCACCAGCTGATTTCAACAGAAATCAAAGGGTTACCAAAAGCAAGTTTAAACAGGTCATAAAGCCTATATGAAACTTCTGAAAATACCTTCACAGCCACTACCAACTTATTAAGGATGCAGAAGCTGTAAAAGCCAGAAGCCAACTGCTAGAATCTTAGACAAACAGCAGCTCATCAATGGGATGAATGGGCACTACAGAGAACGCTTTCAGAAAGGCTAAGAAGTAGGGTAGAAAGGAAAAAAAACCACAACAATAGAGGAATTTACAGTGACTAGTGAGATTCCTGTAAGGGAGAGACAAACACAAAAAGCATCCAAATACCATTATCTGTTGCAATTACTGAATACTGATCACATAGAATGAAGTACTGCACCACATCAGCCTTCGTTTCCTGGAAGCTGCTCTACCCTGACACACTCGGAACAAGCACCAGGAGAGGGCAGCATGCCGCAGAAGCTCGCAACACAGCGAAGTACTCCCTCCTGTCAAAATGCAATCCATCCCACTGAAAAGCACAGGTACAAGGACTTTCTTCCTACACCGTGCCCCTCAAGATACTTCATAGTAAAGCATGTGTGCTCACTCAGCTGCTGTGGCGTATCTTCTGCACATTTATGTGACCTGAACTGCTGCTTCAACCAATTTCTACCTTGGTAATAGGAGAAAAAAAAAAAACCAACCAACCAAAAAAAAAAAACCCCACAAATCAAAACAAAACTGGGATTCTCCAGCAGGTCCAGATGTATCTTTATCCCAAACAATTAAAAAGATCTCAAATTAATTAAAAATACTAGAAGCAATCCATTAAATACTGACACTGATCATAGCAAAAAATTCTTACCATTTCAAATAATAAACTTACAAGCTAATAGCTCTTTACCTTAAATTACATCATAATACCAAGAATAAAGTGGCCCATTCAAATAAGACACGTTGCCACCTAGCAGCAGCAACAAGCTTCAGTTCCTATAAAAATGCCATAATTTTATCATTAAAACTAGGCCTAGGAAGGACTCCAAACTAAAAGGGTGCTGATGTGATGAGCATCAAGTTTGACCAGTTACCTGACCAACAGTCTTTGCAGTGTTCTCTCTCATAACCGTGACGTTTCCTTTAAAAAAATACATAATAGCAACTAAACATATACACTTACTTGTCGAAACACCTCATTAACAAAGTTAACGTATCCTCGAGTGGATAAGAGGATTCTCTGCACCATCTCGTAGACGGTGCGGTGCTGCTCTTCAATGCTGCAGAGGCTGGAATTGCTGAGCCTTCTGTCGGACAAGGTGCTGCTGTTCGAATGGCTTCGCTCCTGCTCGCTTGCGTAAGACATACCGCTTTCCAGCTCGGTGTTTTTATCTTGGTTTACACCACCAACAGTCTACACAGAAGAAAATACGTGCCTAATTAAATAACTGAAATGGTGTACACCAAAATTCTGTACTACTTATGCAGAACTCAAGATACTCATGCTCTTTCATACAACACACCGGGATCCCAGCAGTCAGGAAGTGCAATTTCAGTCTAGTGCTTGATCCAAGAAGGAATTTGGTCTTACACTCTACACCATGTGCACTTCATATGGGCTCCCCCAGCCCAGAATGGCTGACTTGTCCACTCCATAAGATAAAACAGAGGGAGGGATGCAGTGGTGCAAAGAGTGCAGTAGTGGAGAAAGGCACAGGCACAGTGGAGGGTAATCTCCAAGTTCTTTCTTTTTCGGGAATAGATGGATCATACCACTATACATGGCTCATACTCTCTCACATTATTATGCCTAACAACTCTTTGTAAGTTTTCGTTCCTGTCTATATTTTGCAACATATCAAACCATGTCTGGCTAAAATGATCCAGCCAGCAGAAGGCAAAGGACTAAAAACTGCTTTTGAGTTACCAGAAAAAGAACCCAAACTTGCACTCACTCAAACCATTGCCCAAATGCAGTTCTGCTTTATGTTTACACTAATAAGGCTGCCCTCTGTTTGACCAAGTGAGCAGTAACAGAGCAGCAATAACATCTCTACTGCTTTTCACAGCGAGCTTTTTTTGTAAGACTCAGCCATGCTAGTGAAGCTCGGGCTACAGTGAGTGAACTTTAAAGCCACTAAGGAGTCAACACGTGCCCAGAGCTGGCACACAGCTTCAGCTAAGTGGTAATTTTTGACCAGCAATACCTTTATGCAACCTAAATATTTACTTGGTGTCAGCTGCCTATAAAATTCAGTGAAAAGAAAAAAATTCTTTTTCCAGGCTATGTTTGTTGGAATGACACAGCAATTATACAAAAGGTGGAATTTCCAATGAGAAATAAAAGACGAATAAGAAAATAACTTTCAGTAGGTAAGCTACACTTCGCTGGCTTCGGGCTTCAAACTTCTACAGCGAAGAACTCCAGAAATGATCAACATGAAAATATACAGTTCTACCATAATAGTTACTCTATGCTTTTCTGCTGAATTCAGATGTGACACTGACCTATGATTCAAGAGAAGAATATAAGTTGACATTGACCCTAAGTTTTCACCAGGAAGTCGGGGAGTCACTGAAAAGAAAAAGCATCTATTTCTATAAAATTCACTGTGAAGTCCCTAACCCTAGAGGAGTCTTAACCAGCAATTGGAAAGTGCTGGTTTGTCAGCCTCTGGTTTTGCTGGGAAATGGTTCATGGCACAAATAAGTTTGACAGTTCACAGATTAAATTCCAGAAGTCTCAATGTAATATTGATGAAGCTGGTAAGGCAAAGAGTTATGAGAAAAAAAGTTCTAGTAAATTACTAAAGAGTTTTCCTTGGAGATTTCCTCCTTCATCGAAGAAAAAGGAATAATCAAATAATCAAGTACATAATTTCTTCACTTAGGGGTAACCATTTTTCTTGCTTCAGTTGTCAGTGCATTGTAGTTATTTGCAAGGTTAGTAAGTACATAAGAAAAGAGAGGTGAACTTTAAAGCACACCTGAATAATTTTAGGGAGCATTTCTCCTCCATTTTTTGTATTCTGAACAGCTGTTAAGTATTTCTTTTCAAGAAAGAAGGTAACAAGCCACTTAATAAAAACAACTCGAGCCGCCATATATGGTATTTTTGTGCTATAGACATTTTCATTGTTTCGTGTTGCAGCAATGTATACTGGCCTTGGTCTTACATCAGGAATATCTGGTGAGATAAAAAGAGAAGATATAAAGAAAATCTAATCTTAAAAAACCATAATCGCTTCCAGACTCTGGTTAAATGTATTGAACACGCCATAAACAACATTTTCTCCACATGAAATAACAGATGCAATGATTGCCTGCTTTTATTATATTATTGCTTATATTCTATCATAATTTTATTACTCCCAAAGAAAAGCAAGAACAAAAAAGCACAGATCTTTCCTGAAGGTTACAATTTGTATCACACAAAACAATGGAAAGCAAGAAAGAAGAACTGCAAAAAGAAGGACAAAACCTGAAACAAAGAACTACTCCTAATATAATGTAAGTTAATTAATAAAAATCTATGAAACCCATAAAATTAAGTAGTTGGACAGAGAAGATAGCTCTGCAACACTCAATAGTGCAAAGATGAAGAAGAAAAAGGATACTTAACACATTGAAAAGAGAAGTTAGCTCAGGTGCAAAGAGCACTGCACAAGCTGAAATAAAAGAAAGAAAACACATGGAAAGAAGTGGAAAACCTCCAAACGGGGACAGCTTGGGTCACAATTCAGGACGCTTAGATTTAGGGAAAAATCACCTGTACACAACTGAAAAACATGGAAGTCCTGGGCTCTAGCTGTGAACAACACAGCTGAAGTGTCACTGAGGTGATTTTAGACACTAAATATTAAACTGCAAAGAACAGGAGTTAAAAGTCAGAGGAGAGAGGGGAAGGATGAAGAAGAGGTGGTCATAGTACATCAGGTAAGTATTAAACACCACTCCTATGGACTATAATACATGATTTAGTAAAAAACTAGGAAAACTGTGAGCGTCTCTGAAATTACATGCTTTTGATCCTACAACTGTAGATGGACATCTCCATTTCCTTTCATTTGGCCCTTAATGCTCATTTCCTCTTCAAAGAAACAAGCAGTAAAATAAGAGTAAGTCAGCTACTCCCTCACACTTGGGCAGCTTGCTGGTTCTTTAAAATACCCATCGGAGAGCATGTTCTGCCTTCATTATATATCACAGTTACAGAGTCCTTGCTCACTCAATTTAAATGCTATGCCAGTGGAAATGTCCTTAGGAAAGGAGAATCAGGCCAGCCCTTCTGCAGTGATGAGCAGCATCAGCTTCCTGGACTATCTCAGAAAATCAAAAGTTGTGCTAGGAAAAAAACAAAACATGAGACAAGGGAGGACAAATCCCCATTCAAGAGAAATGTGGCAATATGCCAGCAGGTAACAGAGACACTGCTGAGAACAGTCACCATTATTTCTTTTTCTGCTTAAAAGACAAAATTCACTACTTACCAAGAACAGGTTTGTAGAGGTTGGTTAGCTTTGTAAAAGATGGAAACAAATGAGGAAGATAGTATTTTCTAAACAAGGTAAAGAGAAATTTAAAACCCGTGTCTTGGTTTCCTTTATTCTTCCACTCCAAGCTTGCAGCCTTTTCATGGAGTTAAAAGAGAAACAAACCAAACACTTTAAGTTAATGTGTTATACTGACAATCATTCCAAATTGAAGTGTAAAAAATTACACTTTAATGAGAGATACAAAAAATTAGCACTGTCCCAAAAAACTTTACAAACTGCAGTAAGAATATAAGCGATTACCATGAGGGCTGTAGCACATCAAAGACAGCAAGTCATTAGAAGCCAGTCCATTTGTGCTGTTCTAATGCAGTGAAGCACAGAAAACTTCACATTAATGCTTTTAACATGTGCTTCTTTAACTGTAAATTTAGATGAAGTTACTCTGGGCTACACTTTTATCACAAATACCTTTGTAATCAGAAACATACTCAATGCCCATGTTTAATATGGCTGCATACACTTATGCAATAGTCCTCTGCAAAATTTGACTCAGGGCACCGGTAATTTCCGCTGCCAAGGAAGAGTCTGCCATCTAAGTTTGTTTTAAAAGACACCCTTTCGTTCTTGCACAGGTCAACACTAGACTCACACACCTACTTTCAAGTTGCTCTTTACCAACAGTTTTGAGCTACAGTGCCTTGGAAGACTGTGCCAAGTATTGACTAAGAGTTGGTTTTGCCATACAAAAACATCTTCAATTTCGAACAAGTTGAACATAACCTATATATAGGTGTGTTTTCTTTACTTGTACAAGAAAATCCAGTACAATTTAAAATAAGAAAGGCAAAAGTAGGCATCTCTGTAATTAAGCACTTTTTCCACTGATGACTTAGACCTACCTGGGTTTTAGTCTCTTAAATCACTTCTCTGTTTGAGAAACTCAAGTGAGCACTGAAAGTGTTTATCTTTTGACAAATACTTTATATTCAGGCTCACCTCTTTTTCTTTTTTTTTTTCCCAGTAAAAGCTCTTACAAACGCTTGTCCAACTGGATATAGCAGATGACAGGATCACTGAATCTATATCCAAGACAGTAATTTATTAAGTTAAAGAAAAACTGACTTGGTTACATCAGTCACCTGAGATTTATTTTCTTTTAAACATGTTTTCTTACTTTAATCTGTACTAGAACTTCTTCCAAATCTCTAAAAATTGTGGAACTTGCTATGTCCTACGTTTGCAAAATACACGTGTAGAACTTAGAAACAAAACTACTTTGTTTTTGTATAATTTTGTTAAATAAATAAACTGACTCCTTTTAAATTCTATCCAGTTAGACATAGATTTTCTTGAAGATATGGATTTGCTCTACGATCTGTCTCTCTGTGATCATTCTGCACTTGCATCAGGTTGTTTTAAATTTCATCTCTTGCCTGTAGCAAGGAGGTTACTGCCCAACCGTGCACCCCTCTACTGAGCTACACAAATAAATGAATGCTGACGAACCACAATGGAGTTGGATTTATAATGCAGTTTTTTAGATACCAAACATGTAATAAGAGTATAAAAAAAAAAATTTTCACTGTTCTTTTTAACTGAAGTGTTGCGAGACTCTGATAAGTAAAACAAAGAGTGCCGTGTAGGAAGCTGATAATTTAATACAGCCACTTTTCAAAATAAAGCACTTATTTGAGATGACAAAATATCATCTTGGTCTTGTCTTTTGATATTAAAAAAATGCATCTCAAAGTATTTCATTATCTTTTATCTTTTTTAAAAAGTCCTTTAATGTTCATTGTCTATACAGTTTCTACTTAATTTAAAATGTTGCTTAAATTGTACTTTTTAAATATATGCATTGATTTCTTTCCTGTACAAATTAATTTGATCTATTTATTTTTATTTACGTGTTACTTGCTTCCTTTCAAAAAAAAAAATCTCAGAAGCCATCTCTCCTTTTTTATCTCTTTTATCAGTACTCCTTTACATGTCTTCTGAGCTCTGTATGCGTCCAAAGAGAACAAACTGCATCTTTACCCCATATATCAATTTTCTAAATGTGACCACAAGCACACAAATAAGTCAGTTGCAAGTCATCCTGCAAGTTTGGATAACATTCATTAATTCTTATCGTAACTGTGAAAAACTACTCATTTTCAACAAAAATGGCACATGCAAAGGGATGATTTTCCTTTTAAAAAACAAGAATAAGAGAGTGAAGCTTCTCCCTGGGGAGGGACAAAATCAGCTCTGTATAAACACAGTGTAAACTTAACTTCCGCAAGTACATTCATCCAAAGATGAGTAGTTAAAAACATAGATCCTCCGCACCTGAATTACCATATATTTCAAAAGTAGCTGAAGAAAATAGCAGGTTTGGTCTTCAGCAATTTTCTCTCCAGAGACAGCTGGTAAAAGTGGGGTTATTTCTTCTGGAAAAATCTTAGCTAAAATAAAAAGAAAATGTTTTAAACATAAAAAAAATCTGAAAATAGTTAAGCAAAATATATTTTCTATAAAAACATTAATTTGAAAGTAATCACTAATGAGCTACTAAGCTATACAAAGTCAAAGCCCAGTAACCCCAAGTCCTACCGCATATAATCGAGGGTGGTGCCAACCTCTGATGCACTGCAGTTTGGAAGGGTTAACACAAGCAATCATGGCAGATTAACCAGTAAGACGTATATCTACACACCTACTTATTTTGCAGTAACATGTTCATATAGCTGCATCTCAATTTAAAACAAAACAAAACAACATCCCAACCAAATAACAAAAAACCCCAACTGTTCTGAACTCCAAACGCCAAGATCGGAAGGCTACACAGCTGCAATGAACACCATAGCTTGACAAAGTCAGTACATCTCTGAATTACAAAGACAAATACTATCATCCATGTGACACATTTCTTCCCACAAGAAATTTTACAGCTCTACAAGGACTTCTGTGGAAGGGGGAGGCACTACAACCGTGATGGAAATTCTGCTCATTTACTCACCATCTGGTGAATTTGGAGGACTAATGAGGATATCTAGCGTACAAGGACCTCGTGAGGACATAATGGGTGGAAAACCAGGCACAAGGCATGCGAATATTAATATCTGCTCTTCCACACAGTTAGTCTGAAGTGCTTGAAGCCAGAGAAGAAACAGTCGGATTCCTTCACATCTTATCTACAAGGGGATGGTTTTGTAGAAAAAGATATTAAACCAAATTTGTAAGTACGGTAACACAGTTAAATAATTTAAAAAATGCAGGACAAGTACTTCCATCCCAGCTATGTGCTGTGAGTCTTTTCATCACACCAAGAGTAACCACATTATTAATTTAATCACGAGCAGAGAAGGGCGAGAGCAAGCTGTACCCAGGGCAGCGGTAATCCAAGAAGACAGCATTACCCCTCCAACTTCACTCAGCAGCCAAAAAGCTCTGGTCCCACCCCCACAGCTCCTCGGGCCACATGCACCTTGGCTACTCTCAAGTAGTGCTCAACTGGGGAGCTGCCAACGCTCCATGCTCTACAAAGTCATAAATCTTGACCCCATAGAGATAAAGCAAGCTCTTGTCCTCAACAGCACTAGGATCAGAAGGTCCTTGTGAGAACCAAGATGCAACAAAACCACTCAAGGTAGAGCATTCTGTAAGTTTACTAAAGTTTACTTACTTTCTTCTTCATTAACAAGATACAATTTTAACTTTAGCAAAATACTTAGAAAAAAAATTAAAAGTATTTAAAACTCTGGTAAACTAGAAACCAATAAGTTTAATAAAGTATACTTAATGTCAGAGAGATATGCAAAAAATAAAGTATTAAGCAACATATATTGATACCTTCCCTTCAAGTAACTTTACAAAGGTCATCAGAACAGCAGAATAACTGAATAAGTTAAATGTTAAAATCACCTAGGATTACAATAATAAAATTTATGGTTAAAAGGTGAATAAGTAAAATTACAAAGCTTAATAACCTGAAAAACGCTGATACTGAAAAACTGTAAAGTAATATGCTTCATACGAATTAATGTGAAAAGAAATATGAATACGTCAGAGAGAAATACCTTGAGAGAATTTCCAGTGTGCAAAAGTTTCTTCAGAATCGACCCTGGATTACAAAAATTAAACAGGCACGTATCAGATACTAAGATGGTCACCTTCCACCAGAATGCTTTTTTTAAAAAAATAGTACAGAAAAGTCTAGTTTAATGCCACTTACTATGTGGCTACTGCAGTGGTATTTAAGAAAACTATGGAGTGAAAAAAAACCAGAGTGAATGTAATTACAATCAAAATCACTGTTATAAGATTAAATATACTGTATCTTTACAGTGAGGTACTCTGGTTTTAGTCAGATGGCAATTTCTCAAATTACTTTCATTAGAAATAAGATAATCTAGGAGAAATTTTGACTTAACTAGATTTGGACAAATCAAGAAAGATGCTAGAAATCTATACTACATTCATGTCTACAAAACACAACTATTGAAATTGCAAAATATTTTCATTCTGGTTTTAGAAATACCAGGCTAACTGGTACTAAACATCAAAGTCTGACTTAAAAATCATAGCGGGATTATCACAGAATGGTAGAGATTGGAAGGACCTCTGAAGATCATCCAGTCCAACCCCTCCATGCCAGAGCAGGATCACCTAGACTAGGTCACACAGGAATGTGTCCAGGTGGGTTTTGAATGTCACCAGAAAAGGAGACTCCACAACCGCTCTGGGCAGCCTGGTCCAGTGCTCTGGTACCTTCACCATAATTACATCGAATGCTCCAGTTAAAAATGTTTTTAATTCAATTCTGAGAAAAATAAGATGATGTAGCACTCTGCTGTTATTTCTCACAGATTTCTGAATTATGGACATTCCTTAAGTGTGATCCTTCCCCCAAGATCTCACCATTTCACAGTATTAAATGGTAATTATTAACATATATATCAAATACATATAAATGCATGTGAACATTAAGCAAAAAGCAAACCACAAAGTGCCACTGTAAATAACTGCACTGCCAAATTTTGAAGCTTATTTATTGGACAGCTAAAAATTATCCAAATATGACTATTCAAGCATAAATATAAAGACTATATTGGCTATAAAACAGTTGACTAAAACCAATTTGTTCTGGACTAACTCAGATGAAACGGTAGCAAAGTGGTCAAGCAGATGCCTCCTTTTATTTTTTTGTCAGTGCTAACTGGAAATGTGAAAACAGCCCTTTTCTTGACCTTTAACTTCCACTCATTATTTCTCCTGCAACAGCAAATCCGTTGTTCTGATGAAAAACATGGCAGCTGATGAAATAGTGTTGGAAACCAAACCAAACAATGACAAAAACATACTAATTAGAAGAAATATAACCCACCCCTCACCACCACCTTCCAAAGCAGCATAACAGTTACTTTAACAAACAGCAAAAAAAACCCATCACGACCATTTTGGTAGCATTCAGAAGCAGAATTTTCAAAGTAGTGATGAATCAAAGATGTTTAATACAGAAGAATTTACCAAGTTAATCTACTTGACTGAATTTCCAGGTGCTTTGACTATCAAAATAAATGTACTTCATCTTTCAACATTTCTGTGCCCATTTGACTCTAGCTTTATTCAATCTGGTCAAATGAGGAGAGGATTTAACTTTGCTTTCTGGCTTCTGTACATGATCACAAGGTCTAAACATTCACTATATAAGCACTGTAGGCTGCTGGGAACATTTACATCATTAAAAAGTTAACTATCTTCAAACTAAAAAGAATGAAACTTTTTTCATCATAGCAGAAATTTTCAAATCTAATTTTAAAATTGAAATTTGAAAGTCCTATATGAACTATATGAAAACTTCTTAAAACATCATAGTTGTTCAGAAAAATAAGTCCTACTTTTCTTGTTCAGATTTCCAAAGTTCATGAGTGACTAAACCAAGCTTGCTAGATATCAATTATCTTCATACAACATTCCAAGTGTGTGCCTTAACTAAACTGGCAACTTTATTTTGTTCATTTTTGTGCACATGCTGCAATACAATCTGCAGTTCTGTGCTTAGGAAGCTTTTTTCTTTGCAACACCTGCCCCACAGAGCATGCAGAATGGACAGGAAAAAAAAAAAAAAAGCAGAGCTTTATTAACTCCAAGACTTCTCTCTGCCAGACTTTTCCTATTCCTTCCTTGCTCCAGAAGGCAGAGTATGTACAGTAAATACCACAGGAGTATAAAAAAAGAACGGCTACTCTCCCAGTTTGACCAGGTGAATGCCATCCATGGGTATCTTGTGCTCCTCATAGCCAATGTCGTATTCTCATGTGATGCTTGGCAAATCCTCCACTGGATGAGGATCAGTGGAAGAGCTGGGGCCAAACTTGCAGAAATACCATTTATTCATAATTCCCCTTATAAAGGCCAGTAAAATTGTGGATCACTCATTAAAAGAAAAATTGATCAAAAAGAACTACTAAAAAGTTTGTATTTTTGTCCTTAATCTCTTTCCTTCACTATCTTAGCTCTAAACCAGAAAATCCTCATTTAATTCCCACAAATAGCGTGATGACTGTTTCACAAATATTAATGAACTAAACTGCAGAAAGAATACAGGAATATCAAAGAAGAAATTAGGCCTCTGTTCACTGCAGCAGTCCAAAGGTTTGGGTTCAGTTTAGCACAGCCTGTGTCCAATTACCAAACAGCCACCTACTCATAAGTTTTACAGAATAAATTTTCAGGAGGTGGCAAGAGTCAAGCTCAAGACAGTATCATTAGGCAGCGAGCAATATATACAAATTTGTATAGGCATCTTGTATATGATCGCTTGCAAAAGACTATCGTAATGGAAATCTGCAAGAGTCGTATGCATATTCCACAACCCTCCTCAACCTTAATTTTTGGTATTGGTCTGTGAATCTAAAGGGAGACCTAATTACAAAAAAGTGCATTGGTTTATAACCCCCAGCAACTTGATAGCTTCTAGCACATGAAATAGAAGAAAGGGGAGAGGACTCAGGTAAATCCAAGCATATAAAAACTTAAAGAGCATTCATGCAAAATAAAAATTAAGCAGGCAACCAAAACCACACAAAACAAGGAACACATAGAGCTGTTATAGCAAGTAAAAAGATTTTCCATATGCTTTGACAACTTTCAGCTGCAAGTCTTCTCTGCAAGTGCTGTTTGTATATGGGCAATACTAAGGGATTCTGTGGTTAACAGGACCTGCAGAGCCAGGGAAGTGACTAGAGAAAACATTGATTTTATTTGTACTAGAATGTTTTTAAACCATTCCTTCTTACCTATACTGCGAAAATGCCATCGATAAAAAATCCTCTCAGGTAGTAGCTGCAATATTTTCTGCAGGAAACAAAACTAAATAGTCAAATTTTCCATAATAAACTGGCTCATTCAAAGGATACAGAGAAACCAATACAAAAGACACAAATGAAATGGTGATATATACATAAAGAACACAATAGAAAGTAAATACCTATCGTAGCAGGGACTCCATAGCTCTACTCTCTTACTATGGAGAAAGATACTTGGAATGGTCCTGATTAAACTATGACACTCTCATGAACCGCTTTCCCTTTCCTGCTGTCTTCCAAAACCCCAGCATTCCAGAATACAAACTGCTTTCCAATGAAGAAGTTACAGATTTCTAAGCAGCTCCCTTCGGGTTACATTTTTCTGAAGTATCTGGTAATGACTGCTGTTAGATTGATAGAGTCCAGATTTTGAGCTTCTGTGGCTTAGGTCTGTCTTTTCATCACCTAATGGGGTCTGAGCTCCCGGCTCAGGCAGAGATGAACAGCGGTGCGGTTATTTTTACTGTGAGATTATTTACCTGTGTTTTCAGTTGGTGAGTGAAACCGAGCCAAATTACACAAAGCTAGACTAATTTAATTCACAACATATGCAGTTAATAAAGCACTTATGTGGGATAATATGTAGTGGTCTGCCTCTGTAGTTTTGGACTGATCCTAGCAGAGGCAGATCAAAGAAAGAAAGAGGCTGTGGTCAAACCCATTTCCCCCTTAGTTCTGTTACGCTGCAGGGCACTGACAAAGCAAAGAAATTTAAGCATATGCTTAAGTGCTTTTCTGAATGCAGTCTTATAATCTCAGTTGCGCAGAACAGTTGGGGCTCCCAAATGTTGGTCTTTGTCAGTTTAGTGGTGGTAATGCTAATAAATAATCTGGATAAATCAAAACTATTTGGGTTCTTATGTGGGTAAATGTGACATTTTAAAATTACTTTAACGGGCTCCAAGACACCTTTTTTTTTTTTTTTAACCTTTTTTCTCTTGTTTATACTACTAGCAATATAGACTAGGGCTTGGGCAGGACAGCTAACTTACTGCTGCTCAGCCTCTCAAAAAAGTGAAAGAATAAACATGGTTTCACATACATTTCACAGAAAAATGAAACTTTTAAGTCACTGAAATATGAAATAAAGAAGATATATTTAAGTGGGAAACTATTTTCAACATCTACTTTTGGAACTAAAATGAAATTAAGCAATGCTATAAATGATTAACAGTCAGAGTTCCTTTTAATTATCAAACAAAATCACTGGAACAAACTTCTGCACAATGAAGCGCCATTAAGTTTTCAGAAATACTACATGCAGGATGCAAAACGAATGACAAGTCATTAAAGCAACAGTGACCCATTTGTTGGTCTTTTGCACATAAAAGCTCACAAGAGGAAATAAAGCATCACAGCCAAGAAAGCAAAGATTGACATTTTAGGCAATCCTTCACAGACGGCCAACACATGAATCATTATTGCTGTTAAAAACAGTATGCTCAAGAGATGAAGTAAGACACACTTTTTTTTATTTTTGACAATAAAGTGCTTCAGAAATTATATCCGGCACTCAAAACAGTCTTTTCGAAAATGGAACATTCCTCTCCTCATGTCAGAAGATGAAAGTCATGACAAGTTCACAGACTTAGGGAACTGGACCTCAGGTCACACAGACAGACTGCTCTTCCTTCACATCTTTACCACTGCACATGCTTCTCAAATGGCATTTGGCATTTCTAAAGCTTTAGCTAGAGTGAAAATATAAATCAGATGCATCCCTCCTACGTTCCCATTGTATTTAATTTCAGCATTACTCCCAGAGCTGCCTCTCCAGGACCCCACAGCAGCAGGGACCGAGGAGCAGGAGGCTGGTGGCCAGAGGTCAAGCTCCCCGTCCATGGACAGGAGGAATGCACTTGGGATGAACGATCTGACCAGCTAAAAATGAGGCCATGATTCACATTTGGGCTTTACCTGTTAGTTAAGGACCACATTTCTGCCAATCAGATTGCAGGATCCACAGACAAAGAATTATCATTATCCAGCGAAATATTAAAACACTAGCAGCCCACCACTTTTCACGACTATCTCCGACATTAATCTAACCTAACTCGGCACAGGGCAGAAAGGAGCTTCCAACCTAAATCACGAATACTTCAACTCACTGCACGAGCAGTATCCATCTGCGTGCAGGGTTTGGTCTGTACTCAGCACACTCCAGCCCCACCACACGCTGCATACCCAAAGCATACGAGGAAAGGCTCCACGAAACAAAACCCTGGGACAAACCAAAAATGGTCTGGATTCAAGTATCAGAATGCACTGCAGGGAGGAAGCTTCAAACACCTTCATGTTTATTATGGAAAACCAGACAAAACCACATATATTTTGTTTCCACTGTTTAAGTCATTGTAAGTAGTACAGTAGATCGCTAAAGCAAAACCAATTTCCTTTACAGGCCACACTAACAAGATACCTTCAGCTTGTCTTTGGGTGTAAATTCTCTCATTTGTCTCAAAACACTAACTTTTGAGAACCAATTGTATAAAACTTTCAAAAAAAATTAAGCACCACTTCTGCACCAGTATGTTTTAGTAGAAATTTGTCAAAATCCAGTAATGCTACTAGTGAAAATGCATGTGTTGGTATATTTCAGATGTTACAGTAAAATTCTTTATTGTAAAATAAAGATTATATTAAGAAAATATGTCTACTTCACTAAAAGCCTAACATATACTTAAACACCAGGCATGGCATACTCTTGTGTTATGAATGAAAGTCTGCGAAAGTAATTTGATGACGTACAAACAAATTTTCCTTAGTTGCCAAAATAAACAATACCTATTTCCCAAGAGCCTTAGCAAAGTTCTTGGAGTAATTTTACAGTTTACACGTCCCAACTGATTCAGGATCACAAATAACCACCTCTTGTTGGCTGTTTCAAAACACAACAGCTCACTGAAGGAAGCTGACCTTTTACTGCACTCTCTCGGCAAGGTGCAAAGCACATGAACCAGTATTTGGGAAAAGCCAGAGGCACAGCAGCATGCAGTGAAGGCAGGAACTCACATGTTACTCAGTTTCACCTAAACTTGAACACAAAGTTCCCCTCCACAAAGTAAACTATGATAAAGTGTAAGCTGTGTAACCTGATAAGGTAGCAGAGCTGCAGAATAAAGGCCCATTTTAAAAAAGAACAACTCTCGTATCCAAGTGTTAGTGTAGAGTTCTAGGTTATGCCTAGAAAAAACCTGGAAAACAAATGCTGTTGCAGAGTACAACCATCACCAGGAGAAGCAAGCTTAAACTTTAAACTGCATGAAGATGGCAGGGTTGAGGAAGAAAAGAACACAGGCTTTTTTTTTTTCTTTAAAAAAACCACAGAATCAAACAACCTTGACAGGTAACTGAATGAAACCAATTCAAGGGTCGAAATAAACAGTAAGAAGAAGAAGTTCCCATCTGAGGAAAGCTTCTATATCCCAAAATCTTCTCATATAGTAAAAATTGAAACACTTAATAATTACTCATGCCATTCTCCTTTCCAGCATCTCAAAATCAGGGGAAAAAAATAGTACATGGATACACTTTTGTCCCGGTTTGAGCTAAATAGATCTAATCTTCTATTTGGTGATTTTACTTTTCAGCTCAGTCTCTTGCACTTGTTGAAACTAGCAGCATGTTTTTCCAGACACTGTTGCTAGTTGTGATAAACATTCAAGGCCACTGTCTCACCATGGGTGCCATGTCTGCGCCTACGGGGGGTGGGGAGCGGACCCAAAACTGGCCAACTAGGTATTCCATCCCACGTATATCATACTTGGTATAAAGCCAAGGGATCATGAGGGTCTTGACCCCGTCTTCCATCTTGGACCCTTCTGTCCATCTCGATCCTACAATGGCCAAAGTCCGAGCAAAGCCCTGCTAGTTCGTCTGCCTCTGATCCTGATTCATGTTGTCCCTGCATCCTGCTCCCACCTGCTGCTGAGTTCAGTCTGGGACTTTTCCAGAGCCTAGATCCGCAGAGCCTCTGGTGATGTAATTGTCACTGGGGGGTGGAAAATGGGGGAATTTGGTTTGTATATATATTTGTATATATTTCTTTATTTTCCTATTTACATTATTATCCTGTAATATTAGTATTATTGTTTAATTAAACCTGCTAGTTTTATTTTCCAACCTGTTAAGTCTCTCTCCCTTATTCTTTCTCTTTGCTTCTGGGGAGGTGAGAGGGGTTAATAGAGAGCATCTGTCCAGGATTTAGTGGACAGACCAGCCCTAAACCATGACAACTTTGAAAAATGCAATGATGTGATCAATTACCTGCATATAACTACCAAACAGTAAACAGAAGTAATTAAAAAAAAAGAGACTGTTAGCATCCCAGTTACGTACTGAAGATACAAAAGCTTTGTAGCAGATTAGAATCAATATAAGTAAAGTAAATTCAGAGTCCACATTCGCTTCTGCAATGCAAAAATAAGTTACCATGGTTTAAAGTCTACATTATTAAATAAAAACTTCTGAATGTTACAAGCTAATCCAAAGTTATGGCTAGAACACCTTTTAATTTCCGCACACACACATTAGAGTCCTGACTAAGAAGGTGTTACAGAGTGACATAAGATTGTGCAAGTCATGAACAAGCTCCAGCTGCTGTCCTTTCAACTTCGCATTTCCAAGAATATTTTCTTAACTCTCCCTATCCCTGGGGTTCTAAAAAACACATATTGCTATTCCTATAAAACAAATGATAGTTTCTTCCACTCCAGCCTAGGCTTGGAGCAATACCGCTGTGAATCCAAACTGGCTATTGACATCTTGCTTCTAGTTTCACAGTACACTAATAAGAAATATTTTAAGAAACCCCACAGTGCAAAATAATATTGCTTTTTCAGAAAATACATAGATCTATTTAATGCTTAGTGCTTTGCTGCATCTATATGGTAATCCATTATAGCATACTTGAAATAGAAATTAGGTATTACTACTGATCAACACATCAAGGTATCTGTCAGTTCTTTTAACTGATTATCCATAGTTCTT